TTTGTGTTAGCTTAGGTAGGTAGTGAGTTTCTAGAAATTTGCCCATTTCCTCTAGGTTTTCAAATTTGTTAGAATATAATTTTTCATAGTATTCTGTTATGATTCTTTTAATTTCAGTTGGGTCTGTTGTGATATCACCCATCTCATTTCTTATACGGGTTCACTGCTTTCTGTCCTGTTTTTCTTTTGTCAGTTTGGCCAGTGGTTTATCAGTTTTGTTGATCTTTTCAAAGAACCAGCTTTTGGTCTTGTTAACTCTTTCAGTTGTTTTTGTATTTTCTATTTCATTTAATTCTGCTCTAGTTCTTATTATTTCCTTTCTTTTGGAGCCTGAGGGCTTCTTTTGCTGCTGTCTTTCTACTTGTTCCAGTTGTAGGGTTAATGTTTCGATTATGGCCCTTTCTTCTTTTTGAATGTGTGCATTTATTGGTATAAACTGACCTTTGAGCACTGCTTTTGCTGTGTCCCAAAGGTTCTGGTAGGATGTTTTCATTCTCGTTTGATTCTCTCAATTTCTTTATTCCATCCTTAATTTCTTCTGTAACCCAGTAGTTTTTGAGCAAGGTTTTGTTCAGTTTCCATGTGTTTGATTTTTTTCCTTGCTTTTTCTGTTGTTGATTTCTACTTTTATGGCTTTGTGGTCAGAAAAGATGCTTTGTAATATTTCAGTGCTTTTAATGTTGTTAAAGCTTGCTTCATGGCCTAATATGTGGTCTATTCTGGAGAGTGTTCCTTGTGTGTTGGAAAAGAAAGTATACTTGACTGCTGTTGGGTGGAGTGTTCGATACATGTCTATGGGATCAAGTTGGTTGATTGTAGCATTTAGATCTTCTGTGTCTTCATTGAGCTTCTTTCTGGATGTTCTGCCCTTCACCGAAAATGGTGTGTTGAAGTCTCCTACTACTATTGTGGAGCTGTCTATCACTCTTTTCAGTGCTGTTAGAGTTTGTTTCATGTATTTTGGAGCCCTGTTGTTGGTAAATATTTATTATAGTTATGTTCTCCTGGTGTATTGACCCTTTAATCATTATATAGTGTCCTTCTTTATCCTTTGTGGTGGGTTTTACTTTAAAGTCTGTTTTGTCAGAGATTAATATTGCCACTTCTGCTCTTTTTTGAGTGTTGTTTGCTTGATATATTTTTCTCCATTCTTTGAGTTTTTGTTTGTTTGTATCTTTAAGTCTAAGGTGTGCCTCTTGTAGGCATCATATTGATGGATCGTGTTTTTTTATCCAATCTGCCACTCTCTGTCTCTTTATTGGTGTTTTTAGTCGATTTACATTCAGCGTAATTATTGATAGGTATGAGTTTAGTGCTGTCATTTTGATGTCTTTTTTTGT